AAAAGCTAGAGGACCAGGCACACATAACAGGGAAAAGGGACTGCAATGGATCAGAGAATATCTGACAGGAGGAAACAACGAGTCATGGTACGCGACGAGGTGTCAGAGTGGGCGCCTGTGACAAGCGGGGTTCCACAGGGGTCAGTCCTAGGACCTGTGCTGTTCTTGGTATACGTGAACGACATAACGGAAGGGATAACTCAGAAGTGTCCTTGTTTGCAGACGATGTGAAGTTAATGAGAAAATCGAATCGGACGAGGATCAGGCAGGACTACAAAGAGATCTGGACAGGCTACAAGCCTGGTCCAGCAACTGGCTCCTTGAATTTAACCCTGCCAAATGCAAAGTCATGAAGATTGGGGAAGGGCAAAGAAGACCGCAGACACAATATAGTTTAGATGGCCAAAGACTGCAAACCTCACTAAAGGAAAAAGATCTGGGGGGGAGTATAACACCGAGCATATCTCCTGAGGCGCACATCAATCAGATAACTGCTGCAGCATACGGGCGCCTGGCAAACCTACGGATAGCGTTCCGATACCTCAGTAAGGATTCGTTTAAGACTCTGTACACCATCTACGTCAGGCCCATACTGGAGTATGCAGCACCAGTTTGGAATCCACACCTAGTCAAGCACGTCAAGAAATTAGAGAAAGTGCAAAGGTTTGCAACAAGACTAGTCCCAGAGCTACGGGGATTGTCCTATGAAGAAAGGTTGAGGGAAATCGGCCTGACGACACTGGAGGCCAGGAGGGTCAGGGGAGACATGATAACGACATATAAAATACTGCGCGGAATAGACGAGGTGGACAAAGACGGGATGTTCCAGAGATGGACACAGACACAGAGGTCACAATTGGAATTGAAGACTCAGATGAATCAAAGGGATGTTAGGAAGTATTTTTCAGTCATAGAGTAGTCAGGCCATGGAAAAAGCCTAGAAAGTGATGTGGTGGAGGCAGGAACCATACATAGTTTTAAGGCGAGGTATGATAGAGCTCATGGGGCAGGGAGAGAGAGGACCTAGTAGCAATCAGCGAAGAGGCGGGGCCAGGAGCTGTGACTCGACCCCTGCAACCACAAATAGGTGAGTACAAATAGGTGAGTACACACACACACACACACACACACACACACACACACACACACAGCAAACCAACACATTAAGCTTTTACAGCTACAAGCGGGACCAGAAGTCCAATATACACACGTAAAAAAGGCAGGGCCCAGGAGCTAAACTTCGAAACCCCTCAACCAAAAAATACGCAATGGTACAAATAGTCCATACGCACACACACACATGCACACATGGTGGTAATGCTTTATTTACAGCTAGCAAAGTCAGGGTATTTCTCCAGAATAGTCTGCATATCCGCTGTGGATAAAATACTTAGCCATTTCTTGAACACTTCTAGAGTGATTGTTTCTAAATTCATTAATTTTATCAACTCCAGTAATAATACGCCAATGTGTGACAATAGTCCATCTGGCAAAGTTTACATTTCGTTTGGTCTACATCTGGTGGTGTGGATTTAACCTGCCAAAGATACTTGTAACCCACCGGAGCCGGGCAGTAGTGACATCCAAGAGTCTGACTTATCTTGTTGATGCACCATAGACATGTGGCTCCTCCTGCATGATGGAATGATGATAGATGGACTGACTTGTGTCAATCTCCCTAAGTCTTAAGTCAATAAAGTTCATTTGAAGTTCTTTTCGTATATTGTTTTCTCAAAACTGCTAAAGACAACCCAAGATTGTAATCCTACCCCCTCTTTAAGCAAGCATACAGCTTAGCCAATTTATCAGTTCTATCATGCAACTGAAGACCACAATGTGAGAATGAAATTTTCCCCCCAAAACACATGTGCACTCTGACTCCATCTGTCCACAATCTTACCATATCTATGTCTTGGCTTCTGACAAAAGCATGCCACAATTTATACTTAATGAGTTTGAGAGCAGTTATGGATGACAGAGAATCAGTACAATTATAGTGTCAACCTTAGATACATGGACACATTGAGTGGCAATGATTATGGCAACAGTTCGTTTGAAGGGAAAGAGCCCGGGGGGGTTATTGATGCTGCTCCAATTTTCTTTATTGAGAGCCATCCCCACTCTGCGTGACAACACGCACTACCACCAGCTGAGCCCATGGACTGTGAAACAGAACCATCGACGTAAATAATTTGTGAAAGATTGTTCTGTGTGATTAAGTTATCAAGACAGCTTAAGGCATCATGTTTGCTTCAAGACTAAGCTTTGGTTGTGATTTAAGAAGAGTTTTGGGGGGAAATGGAGGAATGGTAGTTGAAGGGGTAATATCCCATGGAGCAGGGAAATGTCTCTGTTTCGCAACTGATATAGATCATGTAGCTGGTTCAGCGGAGGTCGGTTCCAGTTTTTTCCGATCCACTGGAAGTATGTTCACCAAGGTGCTGAGAAAGTTTGGAGGGCTTTCTGTGCAGGGGTTTGAATGGGCTAGCCTAAGCATATTGACCCCAATAAGGATATTGTCTTTCATGTAACACGATCTCTAATGTCTGGAATAATAAGTTCTTTCGGCGCATATTTAAAATTTTGGCAGTAACGAGGCATCCTAGGAAATCCTCATTGCTTCTTTTGCAGTTTTCTTTCCAGCCCTCCAAGCTTCCGGTCAGAGACACGAGTGCAAGTAGTGGCGCTGCATAATCAACCAATGATCCTAATAAAGCAAGATACATCATCATTTCACAATTTTTAACATTAGCACCATTCCTGGGATGAAAACCTCCACAAATCTCTAAGTGTCTCTCAGACTTTCTTTGTATTGGCGGGACAAATCCCGTTACAAAACAGGTCCAAGTAGTGGAACCACAAAGCCTAGTACCTGTAATCTGCTTACATATTCTAGAAGAGACCCATCTCAACGGGATCTGACGAAACTGTGCCTCTCTGCCGAGGAGACCCTGTTGAGATATCTGTGTTTATCATCCCCTGAGATTATTAACCCCAGGTCCTGACAGCGAGGCTAGTACATGATTTAAAAATGTTTTGGGTGTTGAGAATCCGGTAGTGTGGAATCATTATGTGCATCACAAAATAACCATATAATGATGGGGCTGCTAGGCATGGCATTAAGTAAGGCATTAATCAAAATGTTGAAAAGGGTGGGACAAGCACACCACCCTGTGGGGTTTCATAATTCAAAATTCTTTAGTTACACTTCTATGTCCCTAGGAACAACACAGACGACTTTCTGTTGATGACAGGTACCTTTAATCCAGGCGGAGAAGCCATCCTCCAGCATCCAGATCTGGCAAGTTCACTAATGATTACATTCTGTTGTTTACATCAAAAGCGGATTTAAGGTCAAGGAACGTAGTGTATGAGCTGTCAGTGTGCAGAGTGAGAAAGGTGGTGAATGCAATGATTGCACACGTCCTTCCATGCATGGTGCAGGCGCGGGTGCAACCGGAGACAATAATTCCTTAATTCTGTGCATAAGACAATTAAGTAATCATCCAATCGCGAGAATGTTTTTACACAAGCAGCTAGTAAGGGATATTGGGCGAATGATTTTGTGTATGCGAGTGTGTGGCTTTGGAATGGGAATGGAATGAGGGGGGCTGGGATGAGAGTGGTCCACTGATTTAGGGAGGACTCCCCATGACATAACTCAAGTTATATAATTCATGAGTAAAGGATTACCTGGTACTTACACAGAATTCTGAGTATGTTGTAAGTAATACCATCCTCACCAGGACGACGTGGAGTTGCCCTTAGTTAGTGCTGGGCATCACGTTCATAAATGGAGGGTGAAAGAGAAAGTTGTGCAGTCATCTGCCTTGCAGAGCATAAAGCAAACAAGTCTCTCCCTTGCATCATATTGTCCATTAATTTCGCCTGTGTGGTACTGGGATAGACTGTCCTAAGCTAGATGTAGCATCCCTAAGCACAGGACAACTCATTCGGGCGCCCTTCCGCCCTATGCAAGGGATGAGGGTGGCGCGATCTGCCCATACTGTTTACCCAAGAGGATGGGCCTATTTATGTCCCTCATGCCTCTGCTATGGGGTGGTGAGCATTGAGACCATTGACAAAACGTTCCCAGTCGTTTGCCGCAGTACCTGGTCATACGCTCTCTGGCAGCAGGCAAGGGCAGTTTGGAAGAAGGCTCACAATTTTCAGTGGTAAACGATGGTTTCTAAAGGCTAGGCCTAGTCTGCGAGCATATGTTTCAATGTTCGAAGTTTATGAATCATTGTAGATAGGTATGTTTTTATAAGACTAAAATGTGTATATGGAAGTCATTTGGATTTAGAGTAGTAAGGTAGGTTTCAAGGCGGCTCTAAGAAGTTCTGAATACTGCTCACAAGGTCATTGTAAAAGTCTCGACAGAGGTACACTCATAGGAATTATACCAGTCATCACATGTGCAACAAAGTCATCATTTTGATCAGGGAACCATAAGACTTCTCGGTTTGAATATCCCCCCAGAGAATAGTATTACCAATTATCTAAGAGTTACCTTGGGAATGATCAGACGCTTATATCTTGTTACAATGGGAAGACTCACAGCTGGCAGAAGTAATGTTGAATCCAAGAACACAGAACAAGGACACCCCATAGAAGCAAAATCTAAATCTGAATCTGACATCCCTGTGGTTCATATGAAGCTTCAACTTTCCAACTGTGACCCCCTTGTTGCTGTGTGTCCCCATCTCTGGAAGCATCCTGTCTCTGTCCACCTTGTCTAATCCTCTCAGTATTTCATGTCGTTATCATATCCGCTCCCCTATCTCTCCTGTCTTCCCGTTTGTTCAGGTTGTTTGCCCTTAACCGGTCCTCGAAGGACATACTACTTAGCTCAGGAACTAGTCCTGTTGCAAACCTTTGCTCTTTTTTTTTCTAGTTCCCTTACATGCTTGAGCTCTGGGAGAGGGTCCAAACAGGCGCTGCAACTCCAATATAGCTAATGTACACAGTGTATAAGGAGCCTGAATGACTCCTTCTAGATGTCGAATGCTGTTCTCAGGTTTGCCTGGTGGTGTTTTATGACAAGTGTTTGCCTAGCTGTTGTTTGCTTGGCAGTGTTGGTCTGACGGTATAATGCTTGGATTTTTCATGACGAGTGTTTGCCTGGAGTGTTCCTCATAGCCACAACTCCTTTGTTGTTGTTCACAGTTTGTTTACAGACAAGGAACGAGGAATGGTCGTTGTAGGATGTAGCGAGTTACATCTTTTTTGACACATGTTTCACATGAAGTCAGCGATGTAAGTGTTAAATAAGCATGTTATTACCACACAACATGATCTTACTCGCTGTAATTACATTATTAATAAAGATATTAAGATATATTGGTACTGTGATACGCTTCCTTCCAACGGTTGGCTAATGTGAGGATCCGGTCTTTTTGAGAAGTCCATCATTATTTTTTCTTTATAAATGGCAAAAAATATTCATAATTACGGAGATCCAACCTTAATAGTGAGTTTGGCCAAATTTATTTCTAAAGATGTCCAGTATTTGGTGTATTTGGTCATGAGCGTTGCTTTATGTGGTATCAAAAAAAAAAAAAAACCCTAATTCAGTCTAAAAACAAAAAAAATGCGTAACCTTACCTTAATTCGTATGTGGTAAAGATAGGACTAGGCGCGCATTCCATACATTCAGTTGCCTGCATTTTACATTCAATTCGGACTTTATTTAGATAGTCCAGCAGGCAGCGTTAATTACTAACCTGAACTAGTGCCAATTTGGTCGAGTGTGGGCATCTTGCCTCTCACCCTGATTCATGCAAATTTCCCCATTCACATTCTGGTAGCTCTTGTCATCGGCCTATCCGGCCTGCTAGGTGCCTTACAAAAGGGCCACCAATTTATCAGCTATGCTCCTTTTTCTGCCTCTGCGCTATTTCTGCTGGGCTTGGCAAGGGGGGTTCACCTGGCCTACTAGGGAAACGTCTGTTCTGTTTCTATTTGTTAAGTTGAACTTCCTGTCCCCTTTTTCTTTCATCTCCCTGGTCGGGCAGTATCTCTTCTTCATGACATCATGAAGCAGGCCTTTGTGCAGCAATAAGTCTGCCATTGGCTTGGTTCATAGCACATTCGGCTCATGTACTGAGTGTCCTGGTGGTTCAATTCCCCAGTACGTGGACCATATTTCCCTTATGCCTGCTGAGCCCCCCATTCTCCAGCAGTAAGTAGATACCTGGGTATTAGTCGAACTGTTGTAAGTTGTAATCGTGGGGGGGGGCAAAATTATAGAGGCCCCAGTGGAAATAAGATAGTCTCTGATGATGCACTGAGTTCTATTTGGGTCTGCTGGTGGCTAACCCTCTGGGTTAAAAATCCAAAATCTTATCCTAAGCTGTCAGTGAATCTTACAAACTCAGGAAGGAGATAAATAATAATAATTCTAACTGTTGATTGCCCCCTGTCATGCTGTGTGTCTCAGTATAAATGTATTATTTCCCAAAATAATTTGCACATGAAAAGAAATAAAAATTTGTGTCAGGGCATAGATAACATTATGTATGGTATGTTTATCTTGGAACTTGCATTTCATCAGGGCCAATCAATGTTAGTACAGTACTGAGGCTCCTGACCAATCACAGCGAATGTACACAAACACAAATACAATGTAAATAAAAATGAATAATGTAAAAAAATATGAATGGAATATAAACAGATTCACTGTGGATAAAACAAGGCACATGTACAGCAGTTGGGATTCTTTAGTGCTGAGATGCTTGCCTACTCAGGCAGGCTTCTTCAGTCACAATGTGGAAGTGCCTTCAATACTGGAGATACAAAGTGATCAGTCTCTCAGCAATAAAGATTCACTGTGGATAAAACAAGGCACATGTACAGCAGTTGGGATCTTTATTGGCTGAGATGATTTTGCCTATTCACAGGTCTTCTTCAGTCACATGTGGAAAGTGCCTTCAATACTGAGATTCAAAGTGATCAGTCTCTCAGCCCTGAAGAAGTAAGTTTCACAATAAAATAAGTCATGTTAAGCGCTAAACCCATGTGGGCCATTCAGTGCAGTGTGTGGGTGAGGCTCGAACTCTCCATCTGCTGAGCACCAGACAGATGCGCTTTTCAATTTGGTCTCATCAGCCTTGGTAAGGTGTTCATCTCTGTAGTTTGAGGTAAGTGGTTCATCGCCTAGGTTTAGAGGTAAGTTGTTCATCACTGTATTTGGATCACTAATTGTCCAGTTCCATATCTAGCACTAGCAGAGTAAGGTAAAGTTGCGTTAGGTTGGGCTTTATTATGTTAGGTTTTGTTTTCAATATTTGTACAACATTAATGATTGTCCATGACAAAGAAACCTAATATTGGTCATTGGACATTGCACGTTGTTGGACGTTCAATGTAGATATCACACCTTAACTGTCAAGGTCCCTCTAAAAGTTAGTCAGGGATCTATTAGTTATTATCCTTATGCTTTAATGCTTACTGATTTATCTGGTAGAGTATATGCTTACTGCACCTCCATTTTTCATTGGGGGGATTTTGCACTGTCTTCCATGCCTTGTATTTTTGTAAGGATTAATCTCAATGTGTAAATTAAGATTCACTCCCTCCAGTGTATTCCATATGTAAATTATGATATATGTATCTCCTTCATTCCAGGAATAGAATTCGTTTGAATTGATGTGGACATTGTTTTATAAGGGTAATTACTGAGGAAGGGTTGTTGAGGTGGTTCGGACATGTAGAGAGAATGGAGCGAAACAGAATGACTTCAAGAGTGTATCAGTCTGTAGTGGAAGGAAGGCGGGGTAGGGGTTGGCCTAGGAAAGGTTGGAGAGAGGGGGTAAAGGAGGTTTTGTGTGCGAGGGGCTTGGACTTCCAGTTTGATAGGAGCGAAGGAGACAATGGTTTTAATACTTGACGTGGCTGTTGGAGTGTGGCAAAGTAACATTTATAAGGGTTCAGGGAACCAGGCAGCCGGACTTGGAAGTCCTGGAGATGGAAGTCCAGTGGCCTGCACTCTGAAGGAGGGTGTTAAATGTTGCAGTTTAAAAACGAGTGTAAAGCACTCTTCTGCAAGGACAGTGATGGAGTGAATGATGGTGAAAGTTTTTCTTTTTTCGGGCCACCACCCTGCTTGGTGGAAATCGGCCAGTGTGATAATAAAAAAAAAAATACTTACTTCAAAGACTGAAATTTCTTTTTCTAAAAAAGACCTTTCAGGATGCTAAAAATAAGTTAGTTTTTTATACATGTCAGTCTGTGCATTGTTCACAATACATTGTAAATATACGCTGTCAAAAAAGTTAGTCAGCTGATGTACCTTCCATATATTGTATGCACAGTATGGTATATACCAGTGGTATTCATTTGTGGCGGCTCGCGATGACTCCAATTCCACGGCTCTCTCGAAAAATATATAAATTAAATTAATAAAAAAAAAATATATAGGAAAATAATTATTTCAGGTAAGATACATATTTTCATGAGGTGAGATGGAAGACGAAGTCACAATAGAGATAACATTCTAACATCCTGCCCTATCATACAGAAATCATATGTGTCCACTACGGGAAACTGATCGGGACACGTCTAAGCTCTAGGCTCGGTGGTCTCGCTGAAGTCAGTTGAGTTCAACATTCGGGGGAGACTGGACGGATTCGTTACTCTTGGAGATTTGTGTTTGAAAATAGGCACAGAAATTTGAGACTGCGGCAACATTCTGAAAGTAACAGTAACTGTTGCTGCATGTGGAAGCTAGCTGGCGATGGGCTAGTTTATTCTTGAAACCAAAGTGGGCAGTCAATTAGTGTCCCGTTATGATGGATCTGATTTGTGGTTAAACAAAAATGCAATAGTGATTCATCAGCCATCCCAGACCCACCAGTAAGAAAAGGAGACATTAGTAAGTTTGGTCTTTAAGTTTTGCTATAATAACAAGATATGCAGGCTACTATTACCATGTCTAAATTTTACCTCTCATTTACTGTATTGCACAAGCAGCTGCAGTACTACTAATTTAGTTGAGATTATGCTAACTTGCAGTAGTTGCGGCTCTCCTCCAGTACAACGTGTTTAACTTACCCGAAGGTGGCTCTCTTGCAAAAATTAGGAATAAACACGGTATATACAAAGGCAAAGTATACAATACTGTACTATTTTTTTTAGCCAGAAATGCAGTTGGAATTAGTACAGTTTTCCAAGGCCTTATACAATGACGGAGTTCCGCCATCCCTCTAGGAGCTCGAGAAAAGCTGATTTCCAGGTGGAGTGCGTCTAGGGTATGTAATATGGGAGAATTTTTTAAGTTTCTAGAGCTATGAAAGTTTTAAATTGTTTAGGCTAATTAGTCCAAACAAAATTTTTTCTAAGAAAGGATTTTTACAGTTATATTAACACAAATTTCATGAATTATGATTTACAGTAAATACTAGCAAGGGTCAGGCACCATTTAAGTTCATGTTGAATTTAAATGCAATACATTTAACCCTTTACAGTGATCAAAATTACCAGCCGATATTTCCATAATATAAATATTCTGGTAATTATTTAAAAATTCATACATACAGTATTTTTTAAATTTTATAAACTTTGTATACATCAAACTCGGTTTTCATATGCCCTAGTTTATTCTCTATAAAATGTATTTTTTGTTAATATTTTCCCATAAATAAGGTAATCCATTAATCCATTTCGAGGCAAACCCAGAAATATTTAACTAAAAATAACATTTTATAGAGAGTAACGATAGTTTTAACAATACTAACTAGGGCTTACGAAAACTGAGTTTTACTGTACTGAACCCTTAAACTGTCGCAAACGTAGATCTACGTTGCTCACGTAGAGCTCGAATGTAGAATCTACATTTTTTCACATGAGAAAGGCTTGTAAATTCGAACTAGATCTACGTCGGAGTGCTAACGTGAGCTAACGTAGAGCTGTGTTTGGACAGTTTAACTTAAACCCTTTGACTGTTTATCGTCGTATAATAATACGTCCTGTTAACGAGCCACCCGTGTTTGACATTTATATACAGTGAACCCCCGCATAAAACGATGGCATCACATAGCGATTTTTCCGCATACCGATTACTTTTATCGCAAAATTTTTGCCGGGCGCATACCGATTAAAAACCCGCTTTAAACCGATTTTCCGTCCGAGACCCTCCAATGTGCCTCTCACATGTGCCGGCCCGTCCCATTGTTTTACCAGCCCTCCACCGCGGTAAACATCCAAGCATCACTCGGAATATTTCGTATTATACAGTGTTTTCGGTGGCTGTATCTGGAAAATAAGTGACCATGGGCCCCAAGAAAGCTTCTAGTGCCAACCCTGTGGTAAAAAGGGTAGAATTAGTATGAAATTAAGATTACGATTGTGAAGGTTTGGGGCCTTAACCCTGAGAAGCCTATGCCAATTGTGGAATCCATCGTGGACCTACTTCTAAGAATAAGGAAATGTGTGCACAGTGGGTTTGAACTGCAAACCTTTATAGAATGAAAATCACCCTGACAACAGCTGTTAGCAAAGCCGTGCTGGTGACTATTTCAATGAACAATGTTATGCCGCATTTTAGGAAAGTCTTGAAGGAACGGGAGGTACAGAGCTCTCATGTACAGATTTTTTTTGTGCTGACAGAGGACCAGTGACTCTCAAGCTGGTCCTAGTGGCATAAAAGAAGAAGTGAAGTAACCCCCAGAAAAGGACTTGCTAACTTCAAGTCCTAATGGAAGGGGATTCCCCTCCTAAACAGTAAGAAGATAATGCTCTCCCTCCTCCCATCCCATCTTCAGCACCAGACTTCAATAAAAGGAAGTGTCATGTAATTGTGCATGCCTTTTCACTTGTGTGTATTAAAATTAACATTTCATGTGGTAAAAAAAAAAATTTTTTTCATAACTTTTGGCGTCTTGGCAAAACGGATTAATTTATTCCCATTATTCTTAATGGGGAAAATTCATTCGCATAACGATTATTTCGCATAAGATATTTCGCATAACGATTATCCCTCTTGCACGGATTTAAATGCGTTAACCGGGGTCCCCTGTCTAGAAATTCTAGCGGCTTCAAATCGCCAGAGAAAGGCTGGTAGGCCCACATTGAAGGAGAATGGGTCTGTGTGGTCATTCTGCACCATATAAAAAAATCCTGGAGCAGCAAGCAGGTTTCATAATGAGAAAAAAAAAACTCTGACCGTATGTTTTTTCATTAAAATGCCTACTTGTGGTCTATTTTTGTATAGTATTTATGGATGTATTCTCATTTTCTTGGTTCTTTGATAGAATGGAAAACATATATAAAATAGAGTGATTTTGATTGATTTTGACTATGAAAAGACCTTGAAATGGAGCTTTCAAAGTAGGGAAATTTTATAGATTTTTGTGATTTTCAAAATAAACAAATGATGTTAAAAAAAAAAAAAGTCATTTTCCAATAAATGTCCAACTAAGCCATTCTAATATGCATCAAGATGGTTAACATTATTTATACAATTATACAATATTGGCAAGTAGTCCCTGTATAACAGTAAATCTTCTATTTTTGTTGATTATAAAATTCAAAATAGAAAGCATGATAATAGCAGAGGGGCCTGGAGACATGACGGAAGAACAAGAAAATGTTATTTTAGAGCCAGGAATGTCCTGCATTAGTTCCATATGCCCTATTTTGAAAATTGTCATATTTATAATTTTCCATGAAATTGGCAAAAGTGGCAAATTTCTGACCATGTTATTGGGTAGTTGAAATTGTAAATGGTCAGTTTTCTTGTACTCAGTCCGATAGAAAAAAAAATGGAGTTCTAAAGAAATAGCTAATGAGTTTGGTCGACTGAACAATGGAATTAGCCAGAAAATAGGGCTCAAAGTGGGCGAAATCGCTGATTCCTAAATATCGCCGAGGTCACTTAACTTTCGCGAGAGCGTATTTACAATCGTTTTCCATCAAATTTTGTTCTTTTAGCATCATTACAATGGGGAAAAGGATTCTCTATCATTCATTAAGAAAAAAATAATTTTTTTTTCGGAAATTTTGCAAACACAGGAGACCCTCAGGATTTGGGTTGCGACAGTCAGGGTTAAAGTTACCAATTTCTTTTCTGCACTGGACAAAAATTTAAATTTTGTTGACTAGTGTAATTTTTTTTATTACTGATTTCTAATATAAATACCTAGGCAGTCCCAGTGAAGTACTGTTGAGATAAAGGGTTTTTAGTACAATACTCCCTCACTCAACACAGAGTGTTTAATAGAATAGTTGTTCATACAGGCAAATTTTAAAATGAAACCTATTTTCCCATAGATTACATTATTTAATGGTAGTTGTATTTCTGGATTTTTTTTTTTTTTACTATGCTTTTTCAGTTAAATTTTGTTTATTATAATTCCAGTACACATACATTACAGTGGAACCTCGGTGATTAAATTGCTCCCTACTTGAACATTTCGGTATTAGAACGCTTTGTTCATTAAAGAATCGCTCGGTAGTCGACTGTTTGCTTGGCACTCGACCAAACAAACACGACCTGCCAGAACTTTACTGTAAATTATTTCGTGTTTCTTCACATTTTTGAGTGTTTTTTTTTTATATTGTATAAATAAGTTACCATAGGGCCTATGAAGATTAGTGATAACAGCCAACCAAAAAGAAAATTGGTTGGGAAAAATTTGTTCTGTACTTGAACAGATTGGCACTCGAACAGCTTTCTGAAATTAATTAAGTTCGAGTACCAAGGATCTACTGTACTTTTCTAATGTAATTTAGTTTATTTGTTTGTCCTTTTGAATCATGACTTAATTGTTTTTATTATTCTTTAACCCTTTGAGTGTCGACAGGCCCTCTCCGAGACACGTTCTCAGGGTCGGCCAAATTTAAAAAAAAAAAAAAAAATTTTTTCTTATGAAAAGATAGAGAATCTTTTCCCGATCATAATGACACCAAAAATATGAAATTTGATGGAAAACTTATGGAATTATGCTCTCGTGAAGTTAGCGGTCTCAGCGATGTTTACGGATCAGCGATTTTGCCCACTTTGAGCCCCATTTTCGGCCAGTTCCGCTGTACTAGTCGACAAAAAACATGAATATTTCACTAGAACTCCATTTTTTCCATTGAATGAGTGGAAGAAACCACCCATTTACCAATTTCAACTATCCAATACAGTGGTCAGAATTTAGCAATTTTGCCAATTTCACAAAAATTTCAAAAGATGCCAATTTCCGAATAGGGTCCAGAACAAACAAGAAATACATTCCTGACACTAAAATGACATTTCCTCTGTTCATTAGTCACGTCTCAAGGCCCCTCTTACATTCTTTTGCTTTCCACTTTGAATTTTTATTCTCACAAAAAATAGAAGATTTACTGTTATGCAGACTACTGCATTAGTGTAAAAAATGGTATGAATCATATTGGCACACTTGCAAAAGAATATTAGACTCACCAGTTGACGTGTATTGGACGCTTGGCATGATTTGTTTACTTTTGAACTTTGGTAAAAATCAAACATTTCTGCTAATTTGAGCTCAATTTCAAGGTACTTTTCATTGTAAAACCAGTCAAAATCATCTCAATTTCTGTGATATGCCTTCTATTCTATAAAATGAGACCAAGAAAACTAGAATACAACAATAAATACCATACGAAAATACAGTGCAAAGTTGCTGTTTATTCCAAAAAGCGGTCGAAGTTTTTTTTTTCTCATTATGCACTGTGTGCTGCAGGATTCTTTTTATACCATGCACACTGACCACATAGACCCATTCTTTCATATGGAGGCCTACCAGCTTTCTCCACTAGATTTGTGGGCGCTAGAATTTAGGCGTACTAGTACGTCAAAAACCCTGGTCGTAAGCCTACTAGTACGTCCGAAACCCCCAAAGGGTTAACATACAGTGGAACCTTGGTACTTGAACAGCTCCCTACTCGAACAATTTGGTATTCGAACGCTTTGTTCGGTAAAAAAAATTGCTCGGTAGCCAACTGTTTGCTCGGCACTCGACCAAACAAACACAACCTGCCAGAACTTCGATGTAAACAATTTCATATTTCTTTACATTTTTTTTTCTTTTTTATATTGTATAAATAAGTTTTCCATGGGACCTACTAAGATTAGTGATACAGACAACCAAAAAGAAAATTGGTTGGGAAAAATTCGTTCGGTATTTGAACAGATTGGCACTTGAACAGCCTTCTGGAATGAATTAAGTTCGAGTACCAAGTTCCACTGTAATTTAAACAGATGTATGAATTTTTCATACAGTACATAATTTTCTGAAAAAAAACTCAGGATGGGGATGCATGAATATAACTTGCCATATCTCGTATTCAATTTTCAGTGCAACAAATCCAAGTCAGTTTGAAATAGAGTTCTTCGTCAATGACCTTAGCAAGAGAGGAGCAGGTACATTTGAAAGTGTTGGCTGTCTGCAGTATAATCAACATGGAAAAATACACATGGACTTTGAAAAAAAGGTATAGTACTGTGATTTTTTTAATACAGTTATACTCCTGAGGAGGGGTAGCTGAGGTGATTTGATCATTTAGAGAGGATGGAGCAAAATGGGATGACTTTGAGGGTGTATAAATCTGTAGTAGAGGGAAGGTGGGGTAGGGTTGTCCTAGGAAGGGATGGCATGAGGTGGGTAAAGGAGGTTTTGTATGCAAGGGGCCTTGACATACAGCAGGCACGATTGAGTGAAGACAAATGGTTTTTGCTACTTGACAAGCTGTTGGAGTGTTAATTTGTGAAAGGATTCAGGGAAACTGGTTAGCCAGACTTGAGTCCTGAAGGTGGGAAGTACAATGCCTGCACTCTAAAGGTGGGATTTGGAATATTTGCTGTTCAGTGTGACATCTAAACTGTTGTATCTGCACTACTCGGGCAAGACAGTGATAGTATGAATGATGGTGAAAGGGTTTCTTTTTTGGGTCACCTGGCCTCGGTGGGAGATGGCCAGCACTTTAAAAATATAAATGCTGGTTGAATATTCCTTATCTGAAATTCCAGAATTTGAAAAGCTGCAAAATCCGAAACTTTTTTCAAGGACCAACATAACGTTACAAATAGAAATTTTCAGTCTGCTCTGGAGAGGTGCCTAGGCATTGTGTACCCAGACAGTTGCAACACATGACCTCACATACCCTGGGTGGAGCATTGATGCTTTGTTAGAGTCCGTTTGTTATCAGCTGTTGTCACCAGACTTTTGTGCATTACTCACTTGGATTACTTTGTGTTTTGTGTTTATTCTCTGCTTTGTGGTGGGAAGATATTGAGGAAAATGTCAAAAAGGCCTACAGATACCCCTATAGGTAACAGTGATAAGAAAAAAAAAACAGTGTACAGTAGCCTTTTAAGCCAAGCACAGCTTTGTAGTTGAAGACTGAAAGGCTGCTTTTGTTCATTGTTGTTTTTTTTAACAGCTGATGCAGGTAAAGGAGGTTTTTGTGGGCGAGGGGCTTGGACTTCCAGCAAGCGTGCATGAGCATGTTAGATAGGAGTGAATGGAGACAAATGGTATTTGGGACCTGACGAGCTGTTGGAGTGTGAGCAGGGTAATATTTAGTGAAGGGATTCAGGGAGACCGGTTATTGTATATAGCCAGACTTGAGTCCTGGAAATGGGAAGTACAGTGCCTGCACTTTAAAGGAGGGGTTTGGGATATTGGCAGTTTGGAGGGATATGTTGTGTATCTTTATACGTACAGTATATACTACGTTCTTCTAAACTGTTGTATTCTGAGCACCTCTGCAAAAATATTGATTGTGTGTGAGTGAGGTGAAAGTGTTGAATGATGATGAAAGTATTTTCTTTTTGGGGATTTTCTTTCTTTTTGGGTCACCCTGCCTCGGTGGAAGACGGCTGACTTGTTAGAAAAAAAAATAATAATATATTTACTACAAGTACATGTACAAGGTATACATACAGGCCTAGCTGACATCAATGACATACTGTACTACTATATTGAAAGCCCCTTGTTATGCAGAGCATTTTGGGCAAATTAGGTCAGTGTCCCAGGATGCGACCCACACCAGCCGACTAACACCCAGGAACCCATTTACTGATGGGTGAACATAGACAACAGGTGTAAAGAAACACGCCCAATGTTTCTACTCTGGATGGGAATCGAACTCAGACCCTCACTGCGTGAAGCGAGAGCTTTAGCTACCAGGCCACCAAAGCATAAAACTACCTTCAGGCTATATGTATAAGCTGTATATGAAATATAAATGGATTTCATGTTTAGAATTGGGTTCCATCCCCACGCTATCTCATTATATTCCAAAATCTAAAAAATTCTGAATCCAAACACATATGCTGAAAGTTAAAAAAGAATTAGAATGACAACACTACATATCTGTAGGCTCCATAAATGTGAGCTGTACACCATTTTAGTTAAATTTTTTTAGGCAGAATAAAATCTAAGTGGAAGAAAAAAAGAGCCTGATTTCAGTATTTTCATCACTTAGGTGAATAAATTGGAAATAAGTTTTTCAAGAAATAGCTTTAAAAATTTGTAAATATAAAATTACATATACAGAAAGGATTTTGGGAAATCATAGTATTATTGTAAAGTACAGCATTATGTATGTTATAGCTAAATATCAGGCCATTTGAATAGTAAATAGAGTTATGATTTTTTATTATATCCATTTTTTACATTGCTTCAATTTTTTCCCAAGTCTGAACTTTATTCACCTGGCTTCTTGTATAATAATAATTTTTACTATGTGCATGTAGATATATGAAATCAGAAGATGCAGATACTCATAACCAATTCATAGGAAGTTAAGTTTTATACATACAGTAGGGCCCCACTTATTTGGCAGATTAGGTTCCAGGCTACTGCTGGAAAGCAGACTTCACCGGAAAGCAGAACTCCATTTTTTCCATTTATAAATGCATATAAATGCCAGATAGCAAGTTTACACTAACATATTTTAAGTTAACAATAGAACTAGGCATTAAAACGTAAAATACACACACAATACACTCATTATTTACCTCAAAATATTTGTAGTCTTAATGTAGGACAAAAGGTGAATAGTATTTACTCTAAGAAGTCAGGTGTGGTAGCCCTCCTGGCCGCCCCACCCACACATATTATACAACAATGCTTAAAGCTCCCTAGAGCGATAAAATACATATACAGTACACGTATTACTTACCTTAAAATATTTGTAGTCTTAGTGGTCTTAATGTAGGGTGAGAGGTGACAAGTATTTATTTGTAGAAAGTCGTGTGGGAGGTATGGCATCCTGCCTGGCCACTTATACCTACTATGACATTAAGCTCCCTAGAGTGATAAAATGCATATATAGTACACTCATTAAACCATACCCCCGGCCGGGTATGGTTTGTTTGCAATCGTGTCATTACGATTTCTTGAGACACTCATTAATTACCTTAAAATATTTGTAGTCATAATGTAGGGTGAGAGGTTAGTTTTATTTGTATGAAGTTAAGTTGGGAAGTATGAGTAGCCAGGAAGGGCAGCCCTCCCAACCCCACCCACACATAATGTAAACAAACCAGATGAACGCGTCTGGTTTTCGTCACTTTACATTGTGTACAAATTGTCTCCATGTTGATACAGTAGAATAAATAAAGAGAAACACTCCCATTCTCATGTAACACCATTTTTAGAAGAAATAGCACCCTGAGTGAAGGCATATGAAAGGAATAATTTTCTAGTTACCCCCAGTAATATTATAGTGACACATTTTCTCTGATGTTGGACTACAAGTTGCCTGGCTACCACAAGTCCTAAAAAGTTACCTGGCTACCACAAGTCCTAAAAAGTTACCTGGCTACCACAAGTCCTAAAAGTTACCTGGCTACCACAAGTCCTACAAGTTGCCTGGCTACCACAAGTCCTACAAGTTGCCTGGCTACCACAAGTCCTACAAGTTGCCTGGCTACCACAAGTCCTACAAGTTGCCTGGCTACCACAAGTCCTACAAGTTGCCTGGCTACCACAAGTCCTAAAGTTGCCTGGCTACCACAAGTCCTACAAGTTGCCTGGCTACCACAAGTCCTACAAGTTGCCTGGCTACCACAAGTCCTACAAGTTGCCTGGCTACCACAAGCCCTAAAAGTTACCTGGCTACCACAAGTCCTACAAGTTGCCTGGCTACCACAAGTCCTACAAGTTGCCTGGCTACCACAAGCCCTAAAAGTTACCTGGCTACCACAAGTCCTACAAGTTGCCTGGCTACCACAAGTCCTACAAGTTGCCTGCCTACCACAAGTCCTACAAGTTGCCTGGCTACCACAAGTCCTACAAGTTGCCTTCCTACCACAAGTCCTACAAGTTGCCTGCCTACCACAAGTCCTACAAGTTGCCTGCCTACCACAAGTCCTACAAGTTGCCTGCCTACCACAAGTCCTACAAGTTGCCTTCCTACCACAAGTCCTACAAGTTGCCTGCCTACCACAAGTCCTACAAGTTGCCTGCCTACCACAAGTCCTACAAGTTGCCTGGCTACCACAAGTCCTACAAGTCGCTTGGCTACTGCAAAATGTCTATACGTATTAACGTTTTTATGATATTTAATGCTCCTTAGAGTGATTATTATTGTGTTATTATTATTATCATTAGTAATATGGCATCTTCAAGACTAATAAGACACTCTTAGTGATTTTAATGTGTACCTGCATGCCAACACAGTGTGTAAGTTTACTTAGGTACAGGTACACATACATATAATTATCAGTTGTAATAATAATGCAGGTATGAAGTCCACCTGGGCTACATACACTACACCTACCTACATAGCTACACAATATTTAATGTTGGCCCAGAGCCATATTATTAGCATCGACATACCATGTTCACTGGTTTAATCGTTTCTATCAACTTCCTTAAGATGCCATCTTAAACAAATGGAGAAGTAATGAATAATTCAAACCGAGAATTGAAAACAAAGGCTTTATGTATTAAGGGGAGTGACGTAATGTTTTCCCTCCGCCCGGCTACCACACCTCCTTAGTATATAAACATAAAATGTTTATGTGTTATGTAATGTGTTTCTTATATAATTTTGAAGAAAATATAATAGATGGATTAACGAAAATGTCTATATTAACGTAAAATAAGACATGTGATGTGCCCAAGAGTGATTATTATTAGTATTACGTAATGTTTTCCCTCCACCTGGCAACCACACCTCCATAGCATATAAACAGTTTAGCATGTTTATATGCTATGTAACATGTTTCTTATATAATTTTGAAGAAAACATCATAGATGGATTAATGAAAATGTCTATATTGACGTAAAATTTGACATTTAATGTGCCCAAGAGTGATTATTATTACATAATAGAGAAATGTGCTCATGGAGAATGTAAACAAACTGGGTGGCAGGCATCTTATTTGAAAGACCACATGCCATATAGAAAGTTTTGATCATAATTTGAGATCGCCATATTAGCGGAACGCCGAAAAGCGGGGCCCTACTGTTTATCTGTAG